GGTGTGTGCAGCCAGAGACTGTGGCTGGTGAGCCATGTACATATCTATGCATCTTGGGAAATACTGCATCCCATCCTAGGATTAATAAAGATTAATTTAAACCTCTCCCAGCCATGGGTGCTCACCGCATCAGAAACTCCCCAGAACTTTGTACGTGTGCACGTGTGTGTGTGTGCATGTACACATGCAGGCATGTATGTGTGCATGCACGTGGCGAGAGAGACTGCTGAGCTTCCGGTGCTTTCCGTCCACCTCCCACAACCAGTCCATACCCTTTGCCCACCCACTACCCCACCCATCCTTCCCCCAACACTCTTGCTCCCCAATCCCTCCCTGCCTGCGAGGCCCATTATCCACTCATCCCTCCCCCTGCCACTCCTCTTTCTCCCTGCTGCCGCTTTCCATCCACCCACCCATCATTACACCATCCCCTGCTTTCCCAATAAGGCTTTTTTTTGTTCTCTGGCTAGAAGACACTTTGATTTATTGTTCATTTTTGTTAATCTCTTCTTCGTTTTGGCAAATAGAGAACTCGGCGAAGGCGGTGCTGGCCCCTTCCAAGGCTCCCAGGTCTCTATGTACAGGCAGGGCCTGGCCAGCCCCCACCCTTCTCTGCTGAGTCGGCCCAGACCCACCCCACAGAGCAGCACCAAGATCCACGTCTAACCTGGGGGATTCACTCAGACTCACCTCTTGTTCCAGATGCAGGAAGGTGGTGGGAGACCATGACCGGAGGGGAGTGGGAGAGGGGACGGGATAGGCCCTGGGACCGGCAGCGGGTGGCCCCACCACGAACCCCGGGTTAGGATTATAGGCCCCTGCTTGCCCTCCCCTTTCCCTCCTCCGACCCCCAAACTTAGTCCCTCCAGCTCACAGTGGCAAACTATCAGGGCGGATTGCCCTGTCATTTAGCAACCTGCTCTCAACATGCTCCAGGAACATGTCTTCCACGATGCTCCCCCCAGTATACCGCTTCCCCTGCCCAAGCCAGCATTGCACATCCACAGTACACCAGGGTGGGCCAGACACTCCTATATAACTTCATTATCAGCACGCTGCTCCCAGTATGACTCAGAGACAACCAGTCCATGGCCAGCAGAGTCCTTCAGCACAAGCCCCATAGAAGCTATTGGTCTGCAGGATGCTCCCAGTATAAACCACTGAGCACCAGGGCACTGCCAGTAGAAATCAGTGACCTCCAGTCTGCTCCCTAGTATAGCCCAGTAATTTTTTTTTTTAGTCTTTAAAAAAAGAAGAAAGAAATCAACCCATACTGTACCGTCATACCTCCCCCATATCCCAGTGTCAGCCCTGGGCTGAGGTGCCCCCCACCCCCACAGTTGCACTGCCAGGGGTGGGGGAGCTGCCTTAGACCCCATCAACTCCCCTCTGGGTTTATCTCCTGCTGGCCAGTAGGAGGCACTCTGTCCTTTTTGTGAAGTCAGGGGTAGGGGCACTTTCCCTCTGGCATAGGGTCCCCCACTTTGCCCCCATTAGACAGAGTTTGGCACCAAGAAGATGAAGGAGAGTGGCAGTGGGGGCAGGGGTGCTATTTTCCTAGGGCTGGTTTTGCTTGGGGGGGGCATGGGGAGTGGTGTTCCCCCACTGCTGATGAATTTATTGGGATCCTTGAGAGACAAAGGGTTAAACCACTGGTGGAGATGCCGACTGGACAATGGGATGGCAAAAGTGCCGGGCTCTGTCTCCTTTCCCTTCCCACGGGGCCCTGGAGGGTGCGGGGTCATTACTTCCAACCCAGCCCAGGATGGGAGTCACGAAGGGTCTTCAGCCCCCCCAGCCCTATGGGTGCACATGGGGCTGAGGTTCCCACACTGGTGCTGAGGAGTAAGGGGAGGGTCCAATCTCAACTCCTGACCCCCCTTCCCCCTCCCCACCCACCCCACAAAGCTACCCCGAGATTAGGTTTGGCACAAGACAGACTATCAATGGCAGGTGGGGGTGGAGATGTGAACTGTGGGAGCAGGGCCCCCAGGGATACATTCAGCAGCATGAGTCCTCCCCACCCCACTGCAAGCTGGTTTTGCCTCCTCCCACATCTGAGTCACAGTAAAAAAAACATAATTGTCCAGAGCAGCCAGTCCCATGGGTACTGAAAGATCTGTGCCAGGGGCAGTTGGATGCCCCGGTCCCCTGGGACATGTCCCAGCCTTTTCAGTCTCTGTTTCAGAGCCAGCCCCCTGTGGCTCAGCGATGATGTGTCCTTTGGGGGTGAGTCCAGCCCCTGGATGGGACATGTACCCCCACATAACATGCCTGGCACATGCGTGTTGCCGCTCCCTGCTACAGACGGTCACGGCTGGGCTGAGGGGAGCCCTGTGGTGCAATGGGGGGACCCCATCTCAGTTTTCAATTGGGTCTGGAAGAGAAGGAAGGAGGAGGGGATGTCAGCCTGGTGCCCTCTCCCCTGACCAAGTCTGGCCTCCCCATGCTGTCATCATGCCCTGCCAGGATTAGAACCACAAGCCCAGATAACCTATATCCTTCCCCCAACACCCCTACCCCTTAATCAGCCTCCTGGGCTCAGCCAGTCCAGTGTCCCCCTCCAGCTCCCCCAGACTGGACCCATGGATTCCCCCATTCCAGAAGTGGCTCCCCATCTTGGATCAGACCATGCGCCCCCCTCCCCTGCCTCTCCCCCCGCACCCCAGGTCAGCCCAATGGGCCCCAACACTGCAACCTCACTCACTGGCTGTGGCCGCCAACTCGGCCTCATGGGGGGGGAGGTGGGGCTCAAGGGCTGGGGAGACAGTGAAGCGGGAGAAGCGCAGGGCATCCATGATGCTGGGCTCGGCCCCCTTGGCTGGGAGTAATGAGGGGGGTGGCATGGGTGAGGGCAGCGTGCCTGGGTCCGTCACCATGGAGACAAAGGATGGGTTCTGGGCCATCAACGGGAAGTCATCATCCCACTCAAAGCTGCCACCTGCCGGGGGGACAAAGGGGAGAAAGGGTGTGAAAATGGGGAGGGATGGCCCCACCCCATTGCTCAGAATAACCCTGACCCCACCCCATTGGTCAGAATGGCTCTGCCCTTGGCCCAATAGTCAGCATCTCCCCTATGCCATGCACCCATGAGTCACTGCCCTCACCCCATTGGTCAGCATGGCCCTTTCCTCCACCCCACTGGTCAGCATAATCCCATCCCCACTCATCCAGCAGACCAGGTCCCCCTGCCCCATTTTCTTTCCCCATTGGTCAGTGCACACTGGCCCCTACCTCAACCATATTGGTCAGTTTGGCCCTGTGCCTACATGAATCCCAGCCTCATTGGGCAGTACAGGTGGGGCCAAGAATGAGCTCATCCTGTAACCCATGACATTCCCCCCACCCACCGCCCACCTCCTCCTTTGCCAAGTTGTGCTCAGCTCCATATCCCCCAACTCCACAGGGAAGGGAGAGTCACAGCCACACGTAGCGGCTGCATGCAAATTGCTGTTTGTGAATATGCAAATAAGACCACGTGAATAATTTGCGTACTCCCACACCCAGCCTTGTCCCCTGCCCCCAGCCTGCCCGGCAGCTCACTGAAGCCATCAGCAGGTGAGAAGGCATCAAGACCCGGCTCCCCGGCGGTGCCTGGCGTAATACTGTTGGCGCCATCACTCTCTGGGGCACTCTGGGAGCTCAGTTCATTGGTTGGCGTCTCCTGGACAGAGGATAGTGGGAATCAGCACACTATGGCCCCTCCCTTCTTTGCTGGCTCCTTCCCATTCTTTGTTCCCTGCTCTCTCACTAGGTGCTGCCACACCCCACTGACCCTGCCCCCAGCTCCCGGCCCTGCCCCACTCACCAGGTTGAACTGGTAGGTCATGACACCATCACCCTTGTACTGGTGGTCCAATTTGGCAGACCCACTCCCTCCCCTGGCCCTGACTCCACCCCTCCGGCCCCGCCGCTACTTGCCTGATCAAACAGATAGACAGTGACGTCATCAAAGAAGGACACCATCTTGCGCTTACGGTCCAGCTCCGCGGCCTCCTCGGCCGAGCGCGGTGACTTGAGGAGGCCGCGCAAGTTGCGCCCGTCGTCCAATTCGCTGACCACGATGGGGACGCCCACGCCCCCCAGAACCTCCTCGTCCACCTCCTCCTCCTCCTCGCCCAGCCCCAGGGCCTCCCGCGGGCCCCCCTCCTGCTCCTCCTCCACCGGGAGCCCCCTGCAGCCCTCCTTGGCCCCCTCCCAGAAGGGCTTCCGCCCCCCTGGGCTGGGGAAGGGCTGCAGGGTCAGAGGGGGCAGCGAGAGGGACAGGCGGGACACCTTGGCTGCAGGGGAAGGTCAAAGGTCAGGGGGTCAAAGACAAGAGGGCAGTGGAGGCATCAGAAGTAAAGGGTCAGGGTTACCAGGTCAAGACCAAGGGTCAAGGGACACAGGCCAGAGCAGTTAGGGTCAAAGGTCAAACAGGAGGTAAAGGTCAAGGGATGTGAATTAAGACACAGCAATGAAAGGTCAAAGGTCATGGGGCAAACAGCCCCCATCCCCTCCCTCTCCAATTACACACCCTGAGCTGAGCAGCCCCAGCATCACACTTGCCCCAGAGCATTCTGGGAGCATGGCTCTCACAATACACTACACTGGCCAGGCCTGCAGCTCGAGGATCCCACAGCAGCCTGGCAGGCAGCCTGGTGCCCACCCCTGGCTCCTCTCCCCTCCCCTAAAGGAGCTCCCCCACCACATATTGGACAACCCACCCTAGTCCAGCCCCGACAACATCCCCCTTCCTGCCGCGCCTGCTGGTGGCTCCTACCCTTGATGTCCAAGCTGCCTTGATTCACGGTTGGGCTGAAGTCCAGGTGCAGCCGGGGCTGCTGAGACACCTTGCTGCCCTCCTCGGGGACTGGTGCCGGGGCCTCCTTGTTCTGCTCCAGCAATGCCTGGCTGTCCGGGCGCATCTCCTTGCTCTCCGGTCCCTCCTGCTCTGCAGGCTGCCCGTCGACCTCCTCTATGCCACCCTCCCCCTCCTGCTTTTCCTCCTCCACCTCCTCTTCCTCCTTGCCCAGTGGCAGGTGGCTGCCTGGGGCCTCTCCATCGTTTCCAGCCACCACCTCCTCCTCTTTCTCCTTGGCCTCCTTCAACCCCTGCTCTGGCGTCTTTGGCCCTTGCTCTGGCACCTTCAACTCCACCTCTGGCATCTTTGGCTCCACCTCTGGCTCCAGCACCCAGAGCTGGATCACAGCTTGGTCCTTCAGGACAGGGGTCCCAGACGCTGGGGTCCCCGGGGCCTCGCGGCCACTCAGCAAGTTCCGGGTGACATTCTCCCTCAGTGAGACCAGCAGCTGTTCCTTGCAGATTTGTACCACAAAGCCGTTCTCCATCTTGGCTGGTGGTTGGACTGGGGCCAGTGGCATGGCGGCATCGCTTTCTGGAGGCTCTTCTACGCCGAGCTCCTGCCCTCCCACCCTGGCCTTGGCCTCCTGCCTCCCCACTGGGGCCCCCCACTCCATCTCGCCGTCTGAGAAATAGGCTGAGTCCCGATGGGGAGTGGTCAGGCCCAGCTCCCTCCCTGCTGCCTCCTCCTCGGTGCTCGGTGCCTCCTCCGACAGCGTCAGGTCGCTGGTGGATTCCGAGATGGGCGTGGGCGGCAGGTGGGTCGTGCCGTCTTTGCCGCCTGCCTCGCCTTCTTCGTCCTCGTCCCCGTGCCGCTCCTCGGCCTCCTTGAAGATGAACTCGGGGGAGAAGGTGCTCTCCGTCTCGTAGCCGCTGTCGCCGAACTTCTGACCCGGTGAGGAGTAATGGGAGGCCGGGCTGCAAACATCTGATGAGCTGGTGTTGGAGGGGATGTCCAGGGAGTCCACTGAGTCCAGTGTGCCCCTCTGCCGCCCCGGTGGGGCCTGACTGAGGCCCAGCGCATCTGGGCTGGGTGCAAAGCCTTCTGCGGCCTCGGGCAGGATGGCGATGGTTTCCTCTTCGGCGCTCTCCGCCAGTGTGGACAGCGGTGGGATCTCCACTGGGACAATGACGCTGCAGCATCCGACGGCCATGCCGGGGAAAGGGGACCCTGGCAGCCTCCCTGTCTCCTGGGGCGCTGGCCCCTTGCCCCGCTTGGGGTAGTCCTGGAGGTCGTAGCTCTTCACCGCCGTCCCCATCAGCGGGTCGTAGAACTCCAAGGAAGGGGGCAGAGCCTTGGCGGGAGGGGGCGGGACCAGTAGAGTGGCCCCGCCCACACCGGGGAAACCCTCGCCAGCCCCGCCCATGCTGGGAAAACCCTCCCCACCCTGGAAGTCCTTGGAGGGTAGAATGGGGCAGTCGGAGAGTGACCCCCGCTCCACCTTGAGTGAGGAGTCGTCCTCGGTGCCGTAGCTGTCGCGGTGAGGCCGGTGGATGCCAGGGTGGTTGCTCCAGCCACTCACCACCTCCGCTCGGGCTACGGCACAAGTGCAATGTGACTGGGCACCCCGGCTGCAGAGAGGACAAGGAAGGAGGCTGCGGCGCCCGCCCCCACCACTGCTCCTGTCCTCCCCATCCGTGCTGCCACCTGAGCTCTGGTCTTCCATCAACGAGGGCTCCCGGTCCCAGGGGGGTGAGGAACGGTACTCGGCTGGGTCCCCTGCCAGTGTCTCCCCAGCACCCCTCTCTTCCAGCGTGTCTGAGTCCCAGCTCCGCTGCTGGTCCTCTAGCTCCCTGTAGACATGGAGCAGGGAATCTCCCAGAAAGACATCCCCCCCGCCACCCCCCGGCCCAGGGGGCGGCTCTGTCAGGGACGTCTCCTGGATCTCACCCGCCTCAGCCCGGAAGGGGTTGTTCCCGCGGCGGCCCAGCTCCTGCGATACAGATAGGAAAGGGTTGGTGCTGCCAGGAGCCCAGGTCTCTGGCCCCTCCTGCAGGAGAAGTGGGGCGTGGTGGTGGTGGTGATGGTGGTGGTGGTGCCGGGGAGGGTGTCGGGACAGCGGTGGGGTGCCCTGCCCAGCCTCGATGGGGTCCCAGTCTGAAGGGAACAGGGGCTCCAGTGGGGAGCCAGACACCCCATACTGGTGCTCATAGACAGGGCTGGGGGTGCAGACCGAGCGCTCTGGCCCATCATTGGCCCCATGCTCTTCCAGCCGGATGTAGTACTCGCTGCTAACTGAGGGGCTGCGGGCGCTGATGACAGGCACCACACTGGGCGTCTCAAGGGTCTGCCGTGCTGGAGCTTCATAGAAGGGGTTGGTGCCCGGCACAGCCAGTGCCCCATTGCTGGGTGGGTACTCCAGGCTGTGGGGTGGAGCAGCAGGGGTTGAGGAGGGGCCAGAGGCAGGGGCGCCCTTCCACCGCCCCAGCCGGGCCTTCTCCCACATGTACTCGAAGTTGAGGCCCCGGCTGCTCTCAGTGACGGTCAGGATATCATCCATGTCAGCCCCCTGAAATCCATCCAACAGTGGGTAGGCTGAGATCTCCTCTGAACGCTGACGGCGAGGAACCCCTGCTGGGGGAGAGGCCACAGGCGAGCGCTTAGGCTTCAAGGCGTTCCACCGCCACTCGAAGCTCTCCTCCGCCTGCTCATTGGAACGCTCTGTCAGCAGATACGTCAGCTGCAAGTGCAGCTCCTCCAATGTGGGCCGCTGCAGGGCTGGGAGCCAGCAGGACTGCATCACCTCATACCTGCAGGGAGAACAGGTGGGAAGAGGGGAAAGAACAGTCAGAGAACAGCTATCCCAAAATGGACAAAACAGTTGGCGGGAGAGGAACTCTCACAGAGACAGAGCAGGCAGAGAGAGACCAAAGAACAGCTAGAAAATAACAATTGGTAGTTGAGATAAGAACAGCCAGAGAGAGACAAACCTACAGTAAGAAAAGAGAGCTGTTCAGGCAGGAGAGAGAGAGACACTGCAAAACAGCTGGAAAATAACAACTGAAGGTAAACAGAGAAACAGTCAGAGAAAATAACCATTGAAGCAGAACAGTCAGAGAGAAACTGAGAAACAACCAGGAAATAACTGTGAAGGAGAGAACAGCCAGAGAAATTATCAGAAATGATAAGAATATATGGTAGACAGAACAGTCAGAAAAAGATGGAAGAACAGCCAGAAAATAGCAGCCAGTGGAAGAGAAAAAAACAGCTGGAAGTTATGGGCAGAGGTAAAGATGTACTGGTATTAAATGATCTTGGAATAAGCTGTTCTGATATAACTGTTATGTCTGTCCATGCCTAGACTGGAATAAGTAGAGCTAAACCCCTCTTTAAGCTGATTTTGTTTAAACCTGTTTTGCTTGCCTGTAGGAGCAAACAGACATAACAGTTGAATTGGAACAGCTCATGCACATTCCTAAGTGGCAAATTCCCCTCCCTTTTAAAATTGTTTAAAGTTACATCCAAGAATTGCACAATCAAGGAAGAGAGCTGTAGAAAGAGAAGTCAGAAAGTAAAAAGACAACAGATGGAATATAACACCCAGAAACAGGCAGAAAAACAGCGGGGAAATCATAGCTGGAGACAGAGAGAGAGAGAACAATCAGAAAACAGCCACAGTGGCAGAACAACCAGAAAGAAACCGAAGAGGCAAAATATAAAGAGGCAGAAAACAGCCAAAAAATAGTAGCTGGAGGGAGACAGAGGAACAGATGGAGATGACAGCTGTAGATACAGAAGAACTGCCAGAAAAAACAGCTGTGGAGACAGAGGAACAGTCAGAGACACAACAACAGTCAGAAAACAACAGCAAGAGAAATATGTGGGAAGTAGGAAGAGAAAAGCTGGAGAAAGAGATGGGCTAAAGACAGAGATGAGGCCAGTCAGGACACACCCAGAGGAGGTGCCCCTTTCCATCTGGTGGTTCTCAGTCTGTGGGGATGCCTATACTAGGATAAGGTGATGGCCCTGCCAAACAGGACACTCACCCAGTTTGACCTGCTGGAGACCTCGTACTGGGACTCTCGGCCCCAGAGAGCTGAGGGGCAGGCCCCTAACTCACCAGTAGTCAGAGTAGGGCAGCTTGAGGCGGGGCTTGGCCAGTTTCATCTGCTGCTCCTTGATGACAAAGGTCAGAACCTCCTCGTCAGAGAGGTGCCGGTAGGGTTGGCTGCCGAACTCAAACAGCTCCCAGATCGTCACCCCCAGGGACCTGTGGGGAACCAGGTCACAGAACTACTGGTTACTGCCCAGAACTGAGATGCAGCTGCCGCTAGAGTAGGGCACACTGGGGGGTGGTTCATTCTGGGTCCCCACACCCAGCACTGAAATGCGGCTGCCTCTGAGCGAGCACATGGTGGCTGTATAACAGCATCATTGAGCAGGATGCGGGTGCTGTCAGAAGCTCTGGGACTGAGATACCAGGCACCCACACATGCTTCCCCTCAGCTTTCTCTGACAGCAGCTGCTTTCCCCTTCCCTAGGACAGCCTCAGCCAATCTCTGCAGGAAAGGGAGGCCCACCAGGCCAGAGGTGGTAGGGTGGGTGTAGGCCTCACCAGACGTTACTCTCCTTGCTCTGATCCACCACCATGAGGGTCCCATGAGTCTCGTCCAGGAGCTCAGGGGCCACCCAGCGCAAGGGGATCCACAGCCGGTCGGGGGTGATGTAATAATCCTCCTGAAAGCATGAAGGGGCAGGGTTAGCACTGGGCAGGAGCCCACCATGGAACCAGCTACTGCCCCTGCCCCAGGCTCTTACCCGGTAGTTGTTGTGTGAGAGGCCATAGTCCCCCACACGCACAGTGAGGTCGGAGGTTAGCAGGCAGTTCCGGAGCGCCAGGTCACTGGAAAGGGCAAAGGGAGCACCTGGTTAGCAGCACCCAGAGACTCTCTCTCCACCCCAGGAACCCTCGGTGTCACACCCTCCCCGAACACAGACACCACCCAGGGCTGACCCACCAGACCCCGGGGTGGAACCCAGGCATCCTGCCCCTAACAGCATGGCTCACCTGTGGATGTAGTTGTTCTTGTGCAGATGCATGAGCCCCAGGGTGATCTCATAGGCCATGCGCTGCAATGTGCCCAGGTCACGGGTCAGCAGGTCAGGGGTCAGCCCATCCCCCTTCTGCTGTGCCCGCAGGTACCGCTTCAGATCACCCTGTGGGGAGGAAGCACCAGGAGAGGGGATGAGGAGGACAGGGCCCAGGGCACCTGTGGAGCAACAACCTCCCCCAACCCAGAGAACCAGGAGTGACCCCTTGGGGACTCCCCACCCAGCACCATGGGGCTATGACATAACAGCTGGGCAGAGCTCCCTGCCACCAGCAGAGATCACCCTCACATGAAGCCCAAGAGGCCTCCCTGAGACTGGCCATGCAGCAAAGTACGTGCATGTGCCTGCATGCACCTCCAAAGCGCACATATACACTCACAGCCATGCCCAACCACACACACACACACACACACACGTCAGCTCCACACAAACACCCACATGCACACAAATAACCTTGTCTTGACATCAATCACACCTGTATACAAACATGTGTGCACACAAGTGCACTCTACTCCCACCCCCAAACACACACGTACACAACCACTTATACACATGCACAGCCAGGCCCGCAAGCACGCCCTCACCCAACCATCTACCCTCATACATATCAGCTTCTTCCCACAAAAATGCACACACACACAAGTGTTTGCACCCAGTTCCCTCCATGCCCATGCATGCACCCACCCAAATATTCACAGACACACGTTCATCCACACTCACAAACAAGCCAGTCACCCCTTCACCCCCATCACATATAGCCATGGACACGCCTTCATCCATGATTTTGGCAAAAATCTTGTTGGTCTAATAAAAGATATCACCTCTACCATGAGCCCTGATTGCTTAACACAGTGGGGCAGCTCTGATTCCATCCACCCGGGGCCACTGGTTCTCTTGTACACACACATATAGTAAACACACATGTACACAGGTGCATGAGTGCACGCAGGCACACACATGCACACAGAAACACACGCACACACACAAACGCTCACCAGCTGGCAGAACTCCATGATGAGCAGGAAGGGGATGGTCTCCGTACACAGCCCCAAACACTGCAGGATGTTCGGATGCTGGAGGCTTCTTAAAACCAAGGGCAGGAGACAGGGAGGGGAGAAGAACTGAGAACACTGTTATTTCCCCTGACCACGGCAGGCTCCGGATGCCTGGGTTCTGCTTCAGCTCTAAGAGAGGAGTAGAGTCTAGTGGCTTAGAGCAGGAGTGGGCTGGGAGCCAGGACTCCCGAGTTCTCTCCTTGCTCTGACATGACTCACCACATGACCCTGGGATCCAGCAGGTCCCCTTCTCCCTGTGACTCAGTTTCCCAGTTATGGGCACAGGGCAAAAAATTGCCATGTCTCTTGGGGTCAGGAGGGTTATTTAATGAGCCCCTGGAAAAAACCCTTTGGGACCCCAGACATTGGGGAAGGGATCCTGAACACTGAGCCCCAAACCCCACCTTTGTGCCTGCTACCCACAAAGACAGGAGACCCAGCCCCTTCTCAAAGGAACAATATGGAGGCGTTCTGTAATTTGCTACTGGAGTAAGAGGGATTGGGGTGGATCAGCTGTGGGGGTTTCTCTCCACAGCATCATGAGAGGCATACTGAGCCTCTTCAGATCTTACATAGTAAGGTCATCTCTGACTGTAGCCCAGTCCTAAGATGCAGCCATCTCTGGAGTGGGGCCCATCGGAGGCTGGTTATACATGGACCCCTTGCCTCGCATTGAGATGCAGCCATCTCTGGGGTGGGGCACATCAGGGGCTGTTTATACAGGGATACTGTGTCCATCACTAGGATGAGGCTCTACCCCCAATTACCGATAAGGTTGGGCTTCAGCCAGGAACTTCCTCTGCTCCAGCGGCCCCGCACTGACCCGCAGCTCCTTCACCACCACTTGGGCTGGGGTGAAGTCCGAGAAGATTTCTCCAAGGATTACCTAGAACACAGAGCAGACCCCAGTGTGACCCAACAGGGTCTGCCTCCCAGATTATGGGGGTGGGGGGTGGGCCTAGGTCTCATTCAGCCCGAAGGAGCTGGGAGGCAGGTGCTGGTTAACAACCCCTGATGATGGTTGAGGAAATAGGCATACAGGAACAGGGCTGAGGCCCAGCAAGGTCATTTCACTGATGCCTCCATAAATGTGGTGTCAGTTGGCAAGGGCTCCCATTCCATGGGCCAGTTCATCCCCCCCTGCCCCGTGGCCAGATTGGGGCCAGGAGGAGAAAGGTCTCTACCCCATTTCCCACCCCCTGAACCAACCTGTTCCTAGCCCCAAGGCTAAACTGAAGCAGGAGCCCCCTGGCAGTGAGACTCACATAGGCTGGGGCCCCAGATGGGGAGGGGGTGAAGAGACCCTGCTCACCTTCCCAAACCAGCCATTGCCAATCTCCTGCAGGTAGCTGAGGTGTTGACGGCTCAAACCCAAATTCTTTACCAGATCTGGAAGAGAGGGCGACAGAGTGAGCCAGGGGTTGAAAGCTGCCAAGCCTCTCTACAAGAGAAAGGGGCTCCAAGGGTGCACCACAGCCTGCCAGCAGCTGGTGTTGCTTCCCAGGATGGATCCAGAATGTAGGCTGCAGAATCACTGACACCCCATTGGCTCATCTGAACTAACCAAATGTTCCATTCCACGCTGAATAGCAATAGGATCATCCAGAACCACCTCTCCAGAGTCACTGCATCCCCTATTCAGTGGTCTAGAACACTGCTCCCATCATAGTCCCGGCCTCACGAGCTAGCCAAACCATGACCTCCAGCATGGCTTTGCCTGCACTAGGTGATGTAAAACCATTCTGGTCTTGACTGATCTTTCTTGAGATGCTGCATCAACCCTGGCTGGTCTGGAACATGATCCCTAGGAGGACATCACCCCCTTATCCAATCTGGAACCAACCTAAACTCAAAGGGAGTTGGGGCCACAGTTTGTAGCCTAGTCAGCTAGCAATGGGCCTCTGATTCTAAATTGTACATGTGGTAATGAATGGGTCTGGTATAAGGATAAGCAATCAGCAACAGACAGTGCTGTTACATGGTGATGGAAGGCTATGGGTTCAGGTTAATCAATGGGTGATGAGATGATCTGGTTCTAGACAAGTCAGTGGATGTTGGGACAGCTCCAGTCCAAAGCTACTCAACTGGCAATGGAGAGCTCAGGTTATAAGCCAGTCACTGAGGCTCTGAACTTGCTAGAGGCACTGCTTTGACATGGCTGAGTCTGGAATGTGACCTCCAGAATGGCTTTTTCCACCTTATATTAGTCTAGAATGATATAGTTTGCAAACTTGCATTCTAGAGTCACTGCATCTACATTGGTTATTCTAGATGTGGTTTACCAGTGTCACTTTTTTCACGATAGCTAGTCTAGAACCTGCTGATCGGTGTATAGCACAAAATGAATGGTCACTACCCCCCCACTCCCCCATGACAGGATCAGAATCACTGGATCCTGAAAAGGGCTCTTGAATATGCTCTCCAATGCCACTGTTCCCCAAGGAGTCCCTTTGATTCGTCTAGTTTAGACCACCTAAATCATCAGTGGTTGCTCTAGGTCCTGACTTCTTGAGTCATTTTATCCATAGCAGTGTAACCACAAGCACAGTCACTCTACTCTCATTGCATTGTTTAGAAATTCATTTTTGGAGCCACTATATCCCAATCAGCTAGGCTGGGAACAGCTGACCCAAACAAGGTGTAGGGCCCGGGGCAAATCAGCCCATGTGGGGCCCCGTCCCCACTCCAATCCCATGTCCCCAGACCTGAAGAAGCTGCTGACGTCGGGGGGGGGGCAGGTAGCAAGTGGCTGGACTTGGCGCCACCACTCCGCCCAGCTCCGCGGGGCCCCACAAAGTGCAGGGCCCAGGGCGGTCACCCTGATTCGCCCCCACCTAGAGACGACCCTAGCTGGAAATATAGCCTATCCATCCTTCCCAGCTAAAGCAGAACCTTTGTGACTGGCCTACAACCAGAGCTCTCCACTGAGTACCTTGGGCGGGAGCTGTCTGGGCATCCTTTGATTTGTCTGGAACCAGATCATCTCATCACCCATTAACAAACCTGGACCCAGAGCTTTCCATCACCATGTGACAGCAGTGTCTGTTACTAATTAATTATCCTCAGATCAGACCCATTCCATCATGACCTGCACTGTGTAGAATCAGAGGCCCATTGCTAATTGACTAGACTACAACCAACGGCGTCAACAGCCTTTGACTAGCCTAGAACCAGAGACACATATCACCCTTTTACTAGGCCAAAACCAGAAGCACCCATCACCAGCTGACTAGCTCAGAACCAGAAGCACCCCAATTCCATTGATAGATCTAGAACCAGAGCTTCCCATTACCTACTGATTGCCTTACAACCAGAGAAGCCCTTATTAGACTCAAGGGCCACCTCAGAAAATGCTAGTTCTTAGTTTCCACTCATTTTTTGACTACAGAAAAGTAATAGAGCAAATTTTCTGTTGCAAAGAACTCAGAAAGACCCCAACAGGTCAGATTGCTTTTTGACACTATGAATTCCTATTAGCAATCTCTGAGTTTATCTTGTGAATCGTGCCAGCCCACCTAACATTGTATGGCACACTGCAACATCCTTGTAAATATCTCAAGGCACCCCAAGGTGCCACAGCTCCCTGGTTGAGAATCATTGCCCTAGAACATCCTTTCCAGACCCACTGTATCATCACTTCCTAGGCACAAATCAGCGGAGGGATGGTAGACATGGACTGGATCCTGCTAAGGTGTCCTCTTACCTGTCTTAAGTATCTGCTGGTTGGGAGGTGGGAGTGTGACCTCTGAGAGGGGCAGGATGTAGACGTCTGGGAGGGACTGAGAGGACGAGGTCTCCTCAGCGGGTGGCGTGTACTCCCCTGAATACTCCTCCCCATCTGGGTTCTCGAACTCCTGGAGGGCACAGAGAGGGTGGCAAGAGGCTAAGACTCTTACCACCAGCCCCCAACATCCTGTTTTGCCTGTATGCCACCTGAGCGAGGAATTGCAATCCCACAATGCCTTGCTTCTGGCTCTAGGGAGGCCAGTCTCATTCTAAAGGCCAGCATGTCCCACCACACCCTGTCTCTACACCTCCCACCTCCCCTCCTCCCAGCCCACCAAGCAGGAGCTGTCACCTCAGACATCCCTCACCTTGAACCCAACATCTCCCCGTTTGCAACACAAGCAGGTGAGGAGAAGGAAGATGAAGGCCAGGAGACCCGAACAGGAGATCAGGACCACGGCATAGGGAGGAGCCAGAGGGACCCGGCCCTGAGAGAGACCTGGGGGAGACAAAAGCAGCTGTTGGAAGCTATCCAGTGCCTCAGGCTCACTAGAGGCAGCACGGATGAATAGATTCAGCCACCTCTGAGCTGGGGGCTGTATGTACAGGGCCCCAGTACCGGGATGCAGCTACCTCTGGAGTGGGACATGGGGGTTGCTGATACAGGCACCCCACACCCAATGTGGAGATGCTATGCATATCTCCACATACACAGGCAGAGGGAGTTTAAAAGGATGGATAATTATGCATACAAATTAATGATGCGTCTTGATGTGACAGTGGACATATGGACACACAGGACTCCTGGGTTCTTTTCCTACTTTGCCAGCTCCTCGCTGTGTAACTTTGAGCAAATCCCCACCCCACGTACCAAAGTCACCACCTTGGGAACAGGCCCAGTCCCTGACCCAAACTCCCTGCCTAGGACCAGGGCCCAGACCCCATACCAGCCCCCTCCTCCACCAGGAGCTGAGCCTAACCCCCTCTGATGGACTTGGCGCCACCACTCCGCCCAGCTCCGCGGGGCCCCACAAAGTGCAGGGCCCAGGGCGGTCACCCTGATTCGCCCCCACCTAGAGACGACCCTAGCTGGAAATATAGCCTATCCATCCTTCCCAGCTAAAGCAGAACCTTTGTGACTGGCCTACAACCAGAGCTCTCCACTGAGTACCTTGGGCGGGAGCTGTCTGGGCATCCTTTGATTTGTCTGGAACCAGATCATCTCATCACCCATTAACAAACCTGGACCCAGAGCTTTCCATCACCATGTGACAGCAGTGTCTGTTACTAATTAATTATCCTCAGATCAGACCCATTCCATCATGACCTGCACTGTGTAGAATCAGAGGCCCATTGCTAATTGACTAGACTACAACCAACGGCGTCAACAGCCTTTGACTAGCCTAGAACCAGAGACACATATCACCCTTTTACTAGGCCAAAACCAGAAGCACCCATCACCAGCTGACTAGCTCAGAACCAGAAGCACCCCAATTCCATTGATAGATCTAGAACCAGAGCTTCCCATTACCTACTGATTGCCTTACAACCAGAGAAGCCCTTATTAGACTCAAGGGCCACCTCAGAAAATGCTAGTTCTTAGTTTCCACTCATTTTTTGACTACAGAAAAGTAATAGAGCAAATTTTCTGTTGCAAAGAACTCAGAAAGACCCCAACAGGTCAGATTGCTTTTTGACACTATGAATTCCTATTAGCAATCTCTGAGTTTATCTTGTGAATCGTGCCAGCCCACCTAACATTGTATGGCACACTGCAACATCCTTGTAAATATCTCAAGGCACCCCAAGGTGCCACAGCTCCCTGGTTGAGAATCATTGCCCTAGAACATCCTTTCCAGACCCACTGTATCATCACTTCCTAGGCACAAATCAGCGGAGGGATGGTAGACATGGACTGGATCCTGCTAAGGTGTCCTCTTACCTGTCTTAAGTATCTGCTGGTTGGGAGGTGGGAGTGTGACCTCTGAGAGGGGCAGGATGTAGACGTCTGGGAGGGACTGAGAGGACGAGGTCTCCTCAGCGGGTGGCGTGTACTCCCCTGAATACTCCTCCCCATCTGGGTTCTCGAACTCCTGGAGGGCACAGAGAGGGTGGCAAGAGGCTAAGACTCTTACCACCAGCCCCCAACATCCTGTTTTGCCTGTATGCCACCTGAGCGAGGAATTGCAATCCCACAATGCCTTGCTTCTGGCTCTAGGGAGGCCAGTCTCATTCTAAAGGCCAGCATGTCCCACCACACCCTGTCTCTACACCTCCCACCTCCCCTCCTCCCAGCCCACCAAGCAGGAGCTGTCACCTCAGACATCCCTCACCTTGAACCCAACATCTCCCCGTTTGCAACACAAGCAGGTGAGGAGAAGGAAGATGAAGGCCAGGAGACCCGAACAGGAGATCAGGACCACGGCATAGGGAGGAGCCAGAGGGACCCGGCCCTGAGAGAGACCTGGGGGAGACAAAAGCAGCTGTTGGAAGCTATCCAGTGCCTCAGGCTCACTAGAGGCAGCACGGATGAATAGATTCAGCCACCTCTGAGCTGGGGGCTGTATGTACAGGGCCCCAGTACCGGGATGCAGCTACCTCTGGAGTGGGACATGGGGGTTGCTGATACAGGCACCCCACACCCAATGTGGAGATGCTATGCATATCTCCACATACACAGGCAGAGGGAGTTTAAAAGGATGGATAATTATGCATACAAATTAATGATGCGTCTTGATGTGACAGTGGACATATGGACACACAGGACTCCTGGGTTCTTTTCCTACTTTGCCAGCTCCTCGCTGTGTAACTTTGAGCAAATCCCCACCCCACGTACCAAAGTCACCACCTTGGGAACAGGCCCAGTCCCTGACCCAAACTCCCTGCCTAGGACCAGGGCCCAGACCCCATACCAGCCCCCTCCTCCACCAGGAGCTGAGCCTAACCCCCTCTGAAATCACCTGCCAGAAACCAAGCCAAGACACCCCCCAAGCCTGCTTCTGGAGCCAGGCCTGGATGCCCCCAACTCCCAAGCCACAAATCAGGCCCAGACTTTATGGACTCACACCATGCCAAGCCTCCATTGATCAGATCTCCACCAGCATCCAGCCAGAGCCAGAAACCTACCAGTAACAGAGGCCATATCCCACCCCTTCAGTACCCATACACCCTTTTTAATGTTTCCCCCATTTCCCACCCTCCTGCAGCTACACAACCCCACTGGCTCTCAAGAGATCCAGGTCATCAGCCCCGTGCTGCCCACCCCCCAGGCCCCTCCACCCCTCAAGAGGCACACAAAGAAGTGACAGACTGGGGGGAGGTTGAAGGATTGGGCTCCCAAACAGGTGGTCAGGGAGGAAGCAACACCACTGAGGAGGGAAGGAAGGATGGAGAGGAGATATATGGCCAGAGGGAGCTCTACCCCCACAAATATGGACCCCCAAGGCCAAAGCCCCCCAATGCTCACCCTGGTCCACTGGCGCTGCAAGGGCTTTGTCCGGGTTGAAATACGACATAGACGCGGCCAGGAAGATGAGCGGCCCCTGCCTTAGCATCTTAAGGGGTGGGAAACCATCGATCGGGGGGAGCAGGGTGCTGGGGAGGGGGAGACGACTCAGGTCGAGGGAGGGAGAAGGGAGAAATAAATAAACACGGCAGAGAACCAGCTAGAAGAACGGGGGAGAGCAACGGAGGAGGGAGGGGGGCCGCTCGGTCAGCTGCACGCATCAGAAGGGCTGAAACCGCTCCAGGTCGAACGGGACCCCGGGGCCTCCTGGGCTGGCATCTCTGGGAATCTGTGGCTTTGCAAAGCTGGCTTCTCCCTGGTCCCCATCCAGAGGCATCTTCCTCTCCGCGTCCCTGTCACGGTGCTGAGGACAGGCAGGGGAGGAGGAGAAAAAAAATTACCAGCCGAGGGGGAGAGAAGGAGTCGTGGTCATAAAAATGTACATCTCTCTCTCCTTCTATGTGGCAACAATGGATGGGGGCTCTTCACATAAGAGGGGGAAGCCAAGGGGGGGAGGGGGGACCCAGGGCTAAAAAGAGGACGAGTGTCTGGGTTTTTTTCAATGGGGTGGAGGGTCGGGGAAGGGGGGGAAAAGGGAAAAGAAAAGAAAGAGAAAGCCCAATGGAAGGGAAGAAAGGAGGCTGGGTTATTGGGGATTCTCTTCTGGGGGTAGCAGGGCTGCTGGAATTGATGCTTCAAGGGTCCTCCCATTGGATAGACCCCCCCCAACCCCGCCGGCCTCACTGATTGGACTCCAGAGCTGTCAGTCAGGGCCTGAAGCCCAGAGAAGAAGGGAATGTGAAAGGCGGCGGGGCAGAGAGATGCAGAAGAT